ACAAGCAGCTTGTTCTAGTTTTTGCTCAGATACAAATTATTTGCATCAAACTTCCTAATATGTAAAGTTGAGCCATCCAGGAAAAGAATAATGAACAATCAAACCTTCCAGTCTTACATAAAAGTGTCGATGAAAACTTTCTGTATCTCTATGAGAATGAGTTTAATAGCAATCCTGGTATTGAAATGGACTATTGGCGTTGAATGCTAAGGTTTAAGTTTAAAACTGCATATGCAAGCTCAAATATCTACTTATAACCCAGTACAATTTGTTTAAATATCCATTAGGGACGTTGAGTGAGTGCTTTGCAATTACCTTCAAACTTAATTTAAATCTGGCTGCTCATTTGACCATTCTAGGTACCATAACATTTAATTTTCACTTTGCAATTAATAAAGTAATAAAGTAGTTTTGAATTTAACTGAATTTTGGAATACAGTATTGCGGTGGTAAGTAGTTTTAAAACAATTTGGCAACAGCGTTGGACTTTCTTTTCTAGTTTTCCAACACGAAGTCTTGCTTCACAGCAAGACAGGCAGGAACTAGAGGTGTTGCTAAATTTTAATATTACATGATACTTAATTTCATTTCAAATTCTGGTTATTATAAGTGTGCATATATGCACACATATATAATAATCTTTATGTTGCATTAACATATTGAACAACAAGAGCTACAATCTTAATCCTGAAGCTATGACAGCTTTCATTTTGCTGTGCAAAGATCAATGTAGAGGAAGCCTTGCATGTGTATGTAAACTTCTTACACCAGCTGTTTGTAAATACACAAAGTGTCTGACAAGAAGTAGCATTCTGTCTCAAATCAGGTGAAATGCTCCTGGCACTTTTAATGTGTTTCATTTTAGGAGGAAGCTTGTTACAAATGCTGCATACCGGTGCAGACACAAAGCGGCATGGAAAACAGAGCCTGAGGCCAGTGCAGGTTAAGCACGTTCATTAATTTCTGTTGCTTCTCTCCCTGCTGGCCGCTGCTCGCTTCCTGGATGTGCCGTGGTTCTTAATAGGCTTTGGAGCCGCGCTTACTGTTTTTTGTTACACACAGAAAGGCCCCCGAGAGATGAATGCAACTCTGAGAACATGAGGAGAGCAGAGGGACAATGATGAATAAGGAGATGAATTTAATGAAAGAAATTAAGAACATATGTCTAAAGAAGTTAAAAGAAACTCATCTTACAGGAAAAAATGTTTAAGCAACTAGTTTTGAAAAATAGTTTCAATTAACCAGCTGAAAATTCATTCAAATTTAGTTTCTGACATCATTACAGTTAGTAGAGTTTTACAGCCGTTATCAAACACTAAAGCCTGATATCCTGGAAGTGGTGCATAGAATATTTTAGCCATTATCCACTCAAGGACTTTCTAACAAGCTGCATTTCCTTTAGAAGTCTACTTTATAGCTTAACAGATGACGTTTAACCAGATTAAAGCTGTGTTAAGTCTACAGGACTAGAGGCCACAAAAAAGAGCTCTGTCAGCAAGATACTTCCTGAAGCTCCACAGTTGCACCAAGAACCCATGTGGAGCTTCACCCCTCTAAAGAGACTTGAAAGGCAGGCCCAGTATAGGTGTTAACCTTTGACTCAAAGGCTCTTTCTAGACAAACAGGGACAGACTACCTAATTGATGCTACACAGGCTATAAAAAAGTAGCGAACTTGAAACTTTTTCTATGTGATGTTTTGTCTTTTTATATATTTTTTATGTAGATTGAAAATATGTATCTAGTTATTCAGTATTGTTTCTGTTTATTTAAATGCAATATTTGAATGGGAAAAAAGATGGGAAAAAATATTATGCCTTTATTTATTTTCATGTTTGTGTTTCTCATTTCCTTCAGGTTGAAAAACTTACATGTGGAAATTACATACACATTATAAATTATGTGCTGATTGAAACCTTCACTCTATATATGTATTAACAGATAAGGAAGTTCGGTCAAGTGCAATTTTCCACCCACACACAGAGTTGATCAGATAACCGCGTTGTGGCTAGAAATAGAGTCAAGCCCCTGTTGGCTCTTGTCTCCTCAGATAATGCTAAGGGAACTCATGGTTGACTATAGTTAATTTTCCACCTCATGCCCTACCTCTCTTTTAAAGATGATGGTTAAGATAACTCAGACTGATTTACTGATGCAAGGTACCAACAGCCATCTGGACAGTTGAAATCTGTCTATTTTGTAATGCTTATGCTTTGTATATTTAGAAATCAGAAAAGGCAACAAATACATCAATGCAAGTATGATGGGAGATAATTTTAATTTTTTTAGATTGTCACTGATATTTATCTTTGATTATACAGGCAGTTTTTAAAGTTTGGTAACTGAGTTATAGCCTGCAAAATGAAAATAATTTTTAAGGGAATTCAAATTATTATCTGCCAACAAAATGAATGGAATGTTGCAAAGAATCAAACTTAAACAAGTTATGGTCTGAAATAAACCAGCTTGGCTATAATAACTGCGCTGTTTGGAGAATGAATGGGGAACACCATCCCAGTTCTGATGTGGTTGCACATCATGCACAGTCATATTGAAGATTGCTGTGGCTGAAGGAGGTGGTCCATTACAAACAATAGAATGGTATTATGAAGAAAGTAAATTATGTGGAAATACTGAATCAATATCTAAAGACATGAGCCTTAAAATGAAACTTTAGGCTTGAATGGTTCCAAATGGACTATGACCCTAGTATCACGACCAACTCTGCAGCAAAACGGTTAAGACAAAAAAAGAGAGCCTTTTGAAGTAGGCATTAGAAAGTCCTGATCTCCAAAGCTTCAAGCTCTAGTGCAGGAATACCTTCTGATATGAATCAGCTTTGTTCAGACAAATGAACCAAAAGTCTTACATAAATGTAAGAAACATTTGAAATGACACCATAATGTCTGAACCAAGTCATACTGTTTAAAAGACAGTTTCAACAAATTAAAAAGTGTAAAGCATTGGCAGAAACAATTAATCACATTACTTAGGATGGTTAAATACAGTATATACTGTATGGGTAACTAATTTAATAATCGAACAAAGGTATTTTTTATCCACCTAGAAGCCACCTTAATCCTTCCCACTAAGTTTGATGGGTCAATAAAAAAAAAAAAAGAATCTGCTGCACCAAAGCTATGGGTTAAATGAATATGGAGAGAAATAATAGGATTCGTATTATTTTGTTTAAATGAAAGAAACATCTATTAATTTAATCTCCTTTATTTTATGGTGCATTTACAGTTTATTATTAAATTGGACATTTAAAACAATTTTTTTATTTTATTTCATGGTTTCATACCCTCCATATTTATCGATATTTCAATAGCGAAAAGGTTGGAAGCAAAATATTTGGCCCCCATTTCAGAACCTCTGATAGACCTCTGGTATAAACTTAGAGAGAATCAATGTGTTTTCAACAAAAAGCCACCTGTTAGAAGAGCTCAAAGTAAATATAGCAGACAGAGTATTTAACTCTAACCATTGTCGTGGGGCAGGTTTTAATTCATTACACAGCCCCCTGTAAAGAGGCCTCAAGGCAGGACCATGGGTAACCTTTTTTATATTCAAACTTATGGCTTATATTTAAAGCTGGCATCATCAAAGCTGGATCATTAACGACACCTCGTACAGCTGACTCCTAAAAAGCTGTTTTAATATGTTACAATCTTAAAGGAATAGTACACCCAAAACATGATTAGCCTTCATTTTCTACTCACCCCCATGCTGAACAAAACTCTGGAGTACTTTTTTGATATCTCAAATGCATCTGGAGATCTGGGAGGCTTCTTGCTGTCTGCTGACATTCAAATAATGGAGGTCTACGGCGCCCGAGACAGAAAGGTCCATAAAAGTCCACAAAAACGTGTCAATATTCCTCCATACTGCTCGTCCAATGTATTCCAAGTGTCCTGAGTGGGTAGCGTCCACAATTTACTCGAAACGAAGTCATTTAGAATGTTTTTAGAGCATAAACAGTAGTGTATAAGATTTCCTAATAGCGCCCCCATGCGCGCTCACGATTCTACGGAAGCCGGCAGACCAAACCAGCGCATTCAGCTCGGCAAAGAACTCATGCTCTTCCTCAACACTGAAGTCCTCAGACATTTTTCTTTCGTTGTTTCTTTCTTTGCACAGGTAAACAGCACATTTCTTCTTCTACGCTTGCATTATCGGCAGAGCAGATGCTGAATGCGCACTTTCTTCCGGTTTGGTCTGCCGGCTTCCGTAGAATCGTGAGCGCGCATGGGGGCGCTATTAGGAAATCCTATACACTACTGTTTATGCTCTAAAAACATTCTAAATGACTTCGTTTCGAGTAAATTCTCGATGCTACCCACTCAGGACACTTGGAATACATTGGACGAGCAGTATGGAGGAATATTGACACGTTTTTGTGGACTTTTATGGACCTTTCTGCCTCGGGCGCCATAGACCTCCATTATTTGAATGTCAGCAGACAGCAAGAGGCCTCCCAGATCTCCAGATGCATTTGAGATATCAAAAAAGTACTCCAGAGTTTTGTTCAGCATGGGGGTGAGTAGAAAATGAAGGCTAATCATGTTTTGGGTGTACTATTCCTTTAAGGCAGCAGCTAAATATTGTTTATTTTTCAAGTATTTAGCATCTTAATCCTATTTTTCTTCTTCTCTGGTTAGTACCCTTTCTTTAACATTTTTTTCTTTTGTGGCATATTTAAGGACAAATGTGACTCAAGTAAAGGCTGACTGTGCCAAGCAGAGACTCTTTACCCTATTATGGTTGGATATTTTAGGATTTTCAAGCTATGTTTGTGAAACACATTTGACAGCTTTACTCATCTACACACAAACAGACACGCTTATGATGATTTTAGGAGTCATGCTGGATCTTAGTATTTTTAATGAATATGATATTTATTTCTTCTCTGAAACTGCTCTTAAACTGTTAAAAAACAAATTGGTATTCCCAAGTATTAATCTGTCTTTTTGTTTTTTTTCTTTTATTGCTCCTTTTCAGGATACAGACCTGCTGGATATTGCGTATATAAAAGATGCCCGAAATGGAAAGTGTACTAAAACACCAAAGGTAAGATAAAATCTCACACATTTCTGCTACTTGCTATGTCTTTGTAATTTTATATTGCACTAGACTGCTATTTAAAGTGAAACATATTAGCACAATTAAAAATGTTTAGTCTTAAAATAGATTAATCCTATACTGTAATATTATAATCGCACAGTTTTTTTATTTTTTTATTTTTTTATTTAAGTGAAGCCCCTTGATTACATATATTCCGATGTGGTAACAATCTGTTAAAACATAATTGTATTCAGCAGGATTACTGGTGACACCTATAAAAGTATTGGAGTTCATATAACTGAAAAATTATCATTATTCATATTAAACGCTATTGAGGGTATATGTAAATGTTTAATAAGTAAGCTGTGACTTCCTTAAGGGGAAAATATGGCTATTTTTTTTATTTTATTTTTTTTTATTTTGCTTATTAGAAATAGTACAAGAGAACATAACATTTGGTTAGGCATATATGGATTGATCTTCATAGGTCAGGAAATCTTTATAGAAAAACATTAATATAAAACAAAGAAAACTTTGGAAAACTAGGCTGGATCAGAAACTCAGTTTATCTTGTCTGTGAATAGGAGGTTAATGCACATAAAAAGATATCCAAACTACAGAAAAGAATTGCATTTTTAAATTGCATAGTCTCCATAACAACCATTTATTTTAAGGATTTCACTTACATCTCTACAACGGGCGCAAATGACAGTGATACGAATGGTGATGGAGATTAAAACTTTTCTAATGTCTCTAGGACATTGGCACATTTGTAACAGGGTGCACTGACATTTTTGGATGATGCTAATCTTCGCTATTCTTGCACAGAAAATGAATTTTATGGGTGCGTGTGTGTCAACCTGACCATGAATCACACTGTCTTCTCTGCAAGAGGAGACTGCATTAGGTTTAAGTGGGTGTAATGACTGATATTTCTCAAGGGGCTCCAGGTGTTTATCAGGAGATAGCGCTACTCTGCTGGTGGTTTAATTGAAATAAAATTGATGATTTATTTTGTGAATAATTAGAAAAAAAAGGTATTGACATTTCCTGCTATATTTGTTGCTAAAAAGGTATGAAAAAAAACTTTAACATGCATACCACCCCAAAATGAAAAGAGGTGCAAAAAGCTTTTGGATGTCGTCATCTTTAGGTTGAGACTGGATGAGAGTGACAGCTTTACCAGTTTAACTGTGCATGACAGCCGAGGTGAGTGGGGGTAGGAGCAGTAAGCACTTTGTGCATGGGGAGTTGAAGCGAATGAGCAGATTCATGCATTTCTAAACAGCTTACATAGAGATATTGCCAAGGCAGAAGGTATGACCATGTGACATGTATCATTGTCAAAGCATTTGAAATCCATTACTAGGAGATGGAGCGGTTGTGCACCCTGCGCATTGTAATGGAAGCACCAATGAGACACAGCGTCTGAGGAGTTGATGAGATGAAGAGAAGAAAGAAGATAATGAAGACTTCTGAAGAGGTTGTTGAACATGAAGGCATTTTGAAAGATTCAAGGCAAAGGCCTGAAGAGTTTTCTTTGGGTTCGAGCTCGGCAGAAGGTCAAAGGCTTCTGTTGAGCTGAGATAATGCGAGGTTAGAAACGGAAGTCAGCTAGAGGTATACTGCACAATTTTTTTATGTTTACCTTTTAAATGCTTGGCCTATAAAAATCCCTTTAAAACTACGTAGGTTTGTGAGACAGTATTTTTTCCACATTAGCTTATTGAAATTGGTGCTTATAGTTACATTTACTCTATATTAAAACAGTGACAGACATTAGAAGGGATAAAAATATAGTGTTTTGTAGATATGCAGACTTGGTCTATTCAAGTTTCTATGTTTTCTCCAAGGTTACGATAACACTATAAGCAGGCAGCAGCCAATGTTTGTGCATATGTAAATGATGTGATCAATAACAAAGGCATATCACTGATTATGAATCCCACCGCTGTTCAAGGTCCCCTCTGAGGAAGCATACAACAGAAAAAAGAATAGGAGCATAAAGATGTCAGAGGGAGGGAAAAAAGGGATTTTCAAAATGGTTGAAATACTGTAGGTAAGGTATGTGAGTCTGGGGTTGTAAATATTTATGGTAGCTTAAGCTACAACTAGTTAAATGACTAATAACTAGAGATGTCCGATAATATCGGCCGGTCAATATTATGAGTCGATATTATCGGCTGGTATTAGCATAATTATGTGATATCTGTCTATATCCTTATCGGGTTTCCCCCCGATAATTAAAAGCCGATAATATAATGCCTAGATTTTGCGAAATATGTTGAAGCGTGCATTCTTGCCAACACGCGACACTCCCTGATGACATCATTAAACCGCGCCAGACTGCAAAATGTGTAGCAGCAGCGAAGCTAAACTGCTTGTAACGAAAAATGTCTGCGGTGTGGAACTTTTTTAACATTTCAAATGACTTGAAGTTTGCGATCTGCAACGAATGTGAGGTCCTTGTCATGTGTGGGGGAACCAAGACTTCGTCCTTCAACAGCGATCCTACCCTGGACTTCATTTGTGTTTACATTAAATTCTGTGCAATACAACTGCACTGGTGAGGTACACTTTTTTCCTATTTGTGAAGAAAGAGATTTATTTCTTGTTTGAATATTCATTGTCAGGGTAATTTCAGAAGGAGCATATTCCAAAATGTTGTTTGAGACAGTGTTGAAAATAAATGTCAAATTTAGCATTTTCCTGAAGTTGAAATACTCTTTTTATTCTCTACAATAGTAATTATTTCTGGAATATACAATGTGTAATGGGAAATCATAGTAAATGTAGGTTATGCTTAAATTTTGTGACTGGCATGATGTGAAATTAGTTTATATCGGGTATCGGCTTATATCGGAATCGAAAATTCAGCATTTGGAATATCGGCATGTCGAATATCGGCAAAAAAAGGGCAATATCGAGCATCCCTACTAATAACTGTTGCAACTGTGTACTGATCAGTATTTACCAATATTACAGATCATGTATATAAAAAAAGAGGAACTTTGTTGTTATTTAGCTGAATAGGAAGTAATCCTTTATTTAACTAGACATTGTATCATAAAACAAATATATTATATAGCTACTGAGTGATAAACTTAATTTATATGTTTCGGTATAACGTTGCAGTGCAGTTGTTTAGTGATGAGTCTGATCAGATGCAGTTTCTAATTATTAAATGATGTTCAAAAAAGATGGAACTGTTTAACACAAAAAAATTAATTGTTTTAATATGGCTTATTTTCTTTAAATTCCTTAACGAAAAGAGGTGAGAGGAAGAGTGAAAAAAGAATTAGGACATACAGGAATCTAATATTAGATGGAAGTGTAGGAACAGCCACTTAATACCAAATGATTAATTTTTCAATATTATCCATATTGAAAAAGTGCATTAGCATGATGTGTAATTTATTTAAAGCTATTAGATTATGCTTATTTAAAGCATATGACTTAGCAGAGAAGAACACAGGCTTGGGGTGAAGGAGACAGACATGTGCTCAGTGATGGGAGCTGCTATAGAGGAGAGCAGCAATGACATCAGGACGAATAATTTAACTTGAGAGGCCACTAAAACCTAGATACCCAGTATGGTTTTTATTTCTGCCATCCGCCTATTCAGTGGGTTCTTTTGGGAAATTTAGTGCAGGCAGACATGGCAAGTTAATCACTTCAAAGGAAAATGTGAAACAGAGAGGTGCAGATGGAGGAGAGGAATGGAGAGAACATATCATGATGAAGAGGGATGGAAACAGAGTAAGTGTAAACAGAAAGTCTGTAATGAAAGTCTTGTATTTTGTAAGTATAATGACTAAAGAGGATTTGTACAAATAAACCTAATAATATAAAAGTGTAAAAAGTAAATAGAAAAAAATCTGGAGCCACAGCTTGGAGGGGTATGCTCCTTTTGAAATAGGAAGTGGCCATTTCAATGCCTTATTTCAAAACTCTTAAATAGGCACTTCACATCAAGTCTACTAAAAACAATGGCTTACCATTCAGAAACAATGCTACAAGAATGTTTTTGCTAACAACATTAGCATGCTTTGATACATCCAGAGCTTCAATCCTTCACATGTAGATGGAGCTGGACCAGATTTGGTTGGTGTAAGAGCTCAGACCAGAAATTTCATTGTCAGCAGCAGCAGCCATACTCACCATCCATTTTCCGTCACCCTCATCCCTGCTGGGGTCGCGAGGGTTGCTGGTGCCTATCTCCAGCTGTCTACAGGGGATAGGCGGGATACACCCTGGACAAGTCGCCAGTCCATCGCAGGGGAACACAAAGACAAACAGGACAAACAGCAATTCACGCACACACTCACACTTAAGGGGAATTTAGAGAAGCCAATTAACCTAAAAGTCATGTTTTTGGACTGTGGAAGGAAGCCAGAGTACCTGGAGAGAACCTTTGCATGCCTAGGGAGAACATGCAAACTCAAAAAGTTTTCATGATGAAAGAATAATTAAAAACTGCATGGACATTACACATGATATTAAGATAATCTAATTTAATCTACTGATTATTTTTAACTTATCTATGACTGATTAATTAGTTTGCTAGCCAGAACACCCATAGATGGGCTGTTGATCAGTCAGGGGGCCAGTAATAGTGGTCAAATGGCATATCTAAAGGACATGACGAGTTTTCAATTTCCTTATTATATTTTGTTCAAAACAACTCTTTTCACCATTTAGGGTCCTTTGACTGAAAAGTATGCAGAGTTATACAGTACATGCTAAAAGTTATATGGAAATAAAGGTATGTTTAAGGTTATTTTTATTTATTTTTTTTCCTTTTTCAAGAATGTTAAAAGAATTTTTATGGTTGAATAAAATCATAAAGACTGTAAAAATATGGTGACCTTCTTTGTGCCGGCCCGTTCAAAGATTTAATTATCCAATGGTTACCTGCCGTCACTTGCCCCAGAAAGGGTCAACCACGAGCTAGAATGAAAACAAACTCGACATTTACATCATTTTCATAAAGTACCGATTTTCAT